GGGCTAGGTGAAATAATGGACGGATTTCAATCATTTAGGCATCGTCCTTGTACCGAAAAACTCGTATGGTCCAAATTTTATCAAAATATCTTGAACATTGTGGATTGTAGCTTGCGCACAAGGTTTACATGGACAGCCAGCTAGCCGGACAGACGGACGGAAATGTCTTAATCGACACAGAAAGTGATTCTAAGTCGATCGGTATACTTAAAGGTGGGTGTAGGATTTTCATGCGTTACAAACATCAGCACAAATACATAATATTCTACCCAATATTGTGATATAGGGTATAAAAATAAATAGTTCGGTGTAATTTTTTAAGGATCCAAAAAACGATTCAGTACTCAAATGATGTTGAATGTGGGTTAATACCCACATACATATTTATGTATGTATATAAATAATAACAAGGACTTATTTAAAATTCTATTTTAATTACACACATACATACAGCATGCATGAAAATGTGTAAAATATTGTATGAGATATATACAAAATCTATCTGACTCTCGGTCTCTTTTATTCATTGAATAAACTCAATTGTTTCTGTATTGTAATTTAAAATATTTGATAAATGTTAAAATGCATGCAGTTAAATTCACAAACATTTGCACAGAGGTTGTTGCTGTTTTTTAGGTATTATGTATTATTTAGTTGAATTATATGCCGATTCCCCACCGCTGCTTTGAAAGAAACTCTTTTACATAAATAAAAAAAGAACATTCATTCATATACATACATCTCGTGTATTATTATTGAGTTCTAAATGTAAAATAACTCAAATTGATTCTTAGAAAAAACAAACAAACAATACACAATTTTTTTGGAGCCACTTTGGTTGCTCGTACCTCCTATATGAGTTAAATACTAAAAATCGTTTGTCTGAGAAACTATTGGAGTTAGAATGCTTAAATTTTACACAAATAGTTTTGACATCCTTGTAATATTTTTTCTAATAAATTGGCGTATTACGGGTATGGTCCCTCCCATAAGAATTACCTATGTATAAATCTTGAAAACCATTAGAAATATAAATTTAAAATTTATATATGAATTAAATACAAACAACTTTAACAGCCATGTAAACATTTGGGTAATAAATTGGCGGATTAGCAATAGGGGACATGGACCTCCCATATGAATTAAAAATATAAAAATTTGTGAATCTAAAAAACCATTAGAAATAGAAATGTCAAATTTTGCACTAGAAACATTGAAATCCATATGAACTTTTGCAAAAATATAATATGTATATCTTATTGTACGAATACTTTCTCTTTTATTTTTACTTTTAGATGATATTTGTAGTTAATAGAGATATTGTCCCGTCATTTTGTTCGTCTATGTAAACCTTTCAATCAAACTGCATGTGCCAATTTTGATGATCATTTCATGAAATTTTGCAAGCAAAGACTAACCCCATTGAAAATGGTTGATATGGATTGGCAATAGGGGAGAAATTCCGGGACGAGAAATTCCGGGAATTCTGAAGAATTTTCAATTCCGAATTCCCGGAAAATTGTGAGTTATTTTCCTTAGTTTTATGTGATATTTTTGACAAAAATTGTTGTTTAAAATAATATATATTGATTTGAAATGTTAAATCCAACGATGAAGTGTATATAAAAAGAAATAACTCGAAAAAAACACCTTTTCGGTTCATTCATTCGGAATTCAACATTTTTTCCGGAAATTCCCACTATTTAACATACAAAATAAGAAAACTGAGACTTTCGAATTACAAAATTTTGCATTTTTCTTTATCCTTTAGAAATCTATTAAAAAACATATGAAAGTGCGTCATTTTTTATTACTGTTTTTAGAAAAATTTACAAATTAAACAGAAAATTTTTAAAAAGGATCGAAATGATTCTTAATTTACTTTATAAATAAAAAAAAATGAATTTCAAACGTTTTTTTAAGTAATAAATAGTGTGTTTTTGTATTTGTATAATATTAAAAGGCGTAAATTGCACAGCAACCAACAAACTACTGGGTTTATTTGTATTTCTTGAGTTTGTGTAGAAGTAAGTTTATAAGTGTAAGACTGTTTGTATTTCGTTATTTACAAAGACTAAGACGAAATCCTTTTGTACACAAAAATTTGCAAACAAACGAATATTTAGTTTCGAAAGTAAAATAGCACAACTAAACTAAACAAACCGAAACAAACAGACGAATGAACAAAATAAAACAAAATCAAACTAAAGCAGCAACAACAAAAATAATAAAAATCTTAATAATAAATAAACAAGTATGACTAAAATGAAAATAGAAATAAATAAAATACCAAAAAAGTACTACATATATATGTACTTAAGTACTCACTGGCTGTCTATTTACATATGGGCAATTTCGTGTCAAGTGGCCCAGCTCAAAAAATCGATTTGGATGAAATTTTAGTACTATTGGATAGTAGATCAGACACAAATTTTTAGCTTTATCGGTCAAGAACTGCCGGAGTTAGAGGGCGTCAAAGTTTGACATAGCTATTTCACAAGGAGTTTAGATAGCTATTTTTACATATGCCCCTTGCATTCCACTAAGAGACCACATAGCTTTGGTGCAAATTTCGTCCAAATCGATTTTTTGAGTTGGGTCAGTTGACACGAAATTGCCCATATATGTACATACATATACATATGTAAAGATAAATATTTTTATTTGTATGAATTTTTGTCTGCTGTTTGTATCAAATGCTTTTTTAAAACTTTACTACGCATAATGGTTACAAATGATAAAATTATGTGTCTTTTTCATTCTACTTTTGGCCGAAAGCAAATTTTCAAAATTTTTAGTTACCATAATAACTTTGACAAGAACAACAAATATTTTGTTGTATTAAGTATGTATCTATTAAGTCTTTTTGAAATCAAACAAGTCCAAGTGCTATAATCAACTATGCTTAATTTTAAATACACTTCACCTATTATGTTGAATTTTACCTTAATTCCGATGTATATAAGCAATTTATTAATGAAAAAATAAATTTCTAAAACAGGCTTTATATAGGAGTTAGGGTCAAATATGAGCCGATCCTCAGCAAATTAGAAGGAGTGATGTATATTTATATAAAGGTTAGTTATGCTGAATTTCATCGCTATACTATGGTTATAAATAAATTTTTGGACATTTAAGTTATTTTTAGAGGTGGGTTTGTATGGTGGCTAGGGTCAAATGACGGCCGATCACTATATTTTCGGAGACATGACAGTATATTTGACATAGTTAAGAATTAAAAACCCCATATCAAATATATCATTTATCAAAATGTCTTGAAAATTGTGGCCTGTAGCTTGCGCACAAGGTTTACATGGACAGCCAGCCAGTCGTACAGACGGACGGACATGTCTTAATCGGTATACCTTAAGGTGGGTTTAGAACTAATATTTTTGTGCGTTTCAAACATCAGCACAAACATATAATACCCTCCCCACTATAGTGGTGTAGGGTATAAAAAAGGGCTTGGCAAAATTATATTTTTTTAACATTTTAACTTATATTAAAGGCCGGTAAAGACATAGGAAGCTGAAAATTGGAGCTGAAAAATGGAGCAACGCCATGAAGTATTCGGATCTAAGATTTATGGAATACGGGCGTAGTCCATAAATCAGCTAATTTTGATGTCCTCTAAAAACCAATGAAGTTAATAATTGCCAAGCATATTATACTGACGTTGTTACCTTAAAAAATTTTGAATTAAAATTTTTGCACAATGGACGGATAATTAACAGTAATAATGGGCGTGGAACATTTCTGTTTTTACATTTTATCTAATTTGGACGGTCCTCAATGACCTAGAAATATGGAAATTGACATTCATGTTGCACGGACCAAGGAGAAGATGAACACTGAACTGTATTTTTGATATCCTCTGTTAGGACGGAGAGGTAAAAGAAAAAAGGTATCTGGTAAATGAAAGGAGGCTATACTTATTACTCTCTGTTTAAACATCCGGTGCCTTTAAGTGATTTTTCTAACTTGATTATGCGGGCAAATTCAATTGATGCAAATATGATTAAAAAAGCGAAACTCATTACTTGAGACGAGGCAACAAAGTCACTCAGTTACACACTTAATACTGTTAATGAATAATAAAAAACTAATTTGGCATCACTCCGGTCCATAGTGCAATGTTCGTCTATCGAAAATTTCGATAAAGTCACAGGTCATAATATATAATTATATAATTTGAAAAAAAAATATTGTGGATATAACCTATAAAGTCAGGGAACTATTTCCACAAAATTTAATTAAAATCAAACTTTGGCTTCAATAGAGCTAATATAGACAACCGGCTTATTTTGTTTCCAACATTAAACCATGTATACCATAATGTTTTTACTCTTTTAAAAATTTTAAAATGGCTACAAATATTTAAAAGTTTTATTCATATTTATGACCTGTGACACTATCTGAAGTTATGGATGACAGACATTGCATCATGGGCCATAGAGTGATTCTGAAATAAAACATATAACAGAGTATAAGCACATATTAACAGCTTATAAATAACGCAAAAATTATGACAAAATTGCTATTGATGCGATCTATATTAAGATTTGAAAATATTAGTGAAAATAACTAATGAAAATAGCAAAAATAGTCTTCAACTAAAATATAGAAAATTTAATTGTCAACAGAAATGTAGTATCATCTGAAGTCGTGGGAATCACAATAAGCAAAATAATTCCAAAAAAAATGATTTTTGTAATCTTTGACCTCTAATACCTCGCTTGGCGTACATGGGATTAATGGTGACTTTTATCTCCTTAATTGAGATCCCAGGATGAAGTTCTCTTTGTTTTAAAAAGCTATCTAAATTTCCCCTATTTTTTTCAACTAATTTTGTTGGCCTATTAAAACAAAAAATGTTAAACAAGATTTGAACTTACAAATTGTTGTACTATTTCTTTAATTAATTATTAAGTTTATTTGTATTGCATTTTTATTTATTATCATTTGATTTTGTAAATACAATATTTTATTTTTCTTTCCAGGCTTAACAGCTGGTATACATATATTTTTCTTAAAAAACAAAAATATCGTACAAATATTTTGACATAAAGCTTTTGGACTTATGCCCTTTTCAAGCTGAATTTGTAAAAACTTTTACAATCTTCATACAATTTCTGTGTAAAATGTGGTTGGAAAGATAATTTCATATGAACCACTGCGTCACCAATTGAAGTAGTTCGATGGCTCTAATTTTCCCCGGAATGCATTTTTATACATAACCCAAAGTACAACAGCAGATAAGGTTCAACCGATATTCAATACATGATCAGTTATTCGAAAAAACAGGTGAATAGCTGACTAGTTGTTTGAAAAAATAGTTGAGTATACTTGTTATTTTTAATATACGTTACTCATACGTCATAACAGTTGATCAGTTATTAGAAAAAAAAAAAAAAAAAACAATTGAGTATACTTGTTACATACTTTCAATATACGTTTAATAATTTGATTAAAAAATAAGACAAATTTTGTTGTAATTTTTCTTAATACTAACTATCAAAATGATTTTTCCATCCCGTTTGTAACATTTGAATAATTGGTCGTAGACCCATAAGTTTTATTGAACTATTCAGAGATCTTTTTTATCAACATAAACCTTATGTTTTCACGAATATTTGATAAGTAAAAATTTCGATTGAAATTAAAAATATTGAAAGCTGGTTTTTATTTTACAAATCAAATGGTTTGTTTAAAAGTAATAAAGAAAAATATCATTAAACTGAAACCAAGGAAATAATGTTTTTTAGCAGTACCTCTATTTTCGTCAATTAAACTGAAATAAATTTGAAACAAATGTTCCGATTTCAAACATAAAACCTGATAAATAAGATAAATTGTAAATTTAAGCCGAATTTTTACTTATAAATTATATGTTTTAACATTTAAAGCAAAAAAAAAAATCTTAACACCGAAAATATTAGACAATTTTGTAATACACAGTTCAAAAAACCTAAAATTTGAGCTATTCCAATCTTATAGTAAATGAGATCTCAACACAGGTAGACCAAAAATATAGTTTCTTTATAGCATTTATAAGTTTCACGCTTGAAGCTTAAAAATAAACTAGTCCATTAAAAATTATTATTTAATAAACCATCTGTTTTGAATTCAGGAAACAAAAATCATATTTACTCGTTTATCCACAAAATTAAGTTGGACAAATTAATATGCAACCAAATCATTAAATAAACTTGAAGTTTTCTGCTTCAAAATATTCACATTTCCCTAAGAAAACGGCGTTAAAATATCTTCATTAACTTGCCTGAAACTAAAATTCTTGCTCTTCTAACTTACACACACACGAATATACTAATACATAGTGACAGACATTCATTTATGGCATAAACGGAAATGCAGAAAACCAACAGGATTTCTGCAATACCATCCATACCTTTAAGGAACGGATTTTCAAGTGATGAAAAACATACTTTAAGTAATGAAGATATGTTAGATGGAGAGTGGGACTTGTGGTGGCAGTGGTGCTGTTTTTCTAGCTGATGTTGTTGCTATTAATGCTGCTGCTCAAATTAGTGGTGTAAGATGGTGACGTGAATGGGTGGTGGCGAATAAGTATTTTTAATTGCCGCAGGCTGCTGTTGTATGAATGGCATTAGATACAGTCTGTATATACATATCTTATGTAAAACCAAGCTAAAACACTTAAGCGTTTAAGCAAAAGCGACAACACAAATTTAAGACTTCAACTAAATGACTGTCTGCCAGACTCTTCATATAAAAATACACAAAAAAGATATAAAAAAACAAAGAATGGATGTGAAGAAGTTAGTAGAAGTATAGTAGTATAGCTTGCGGTGACTAAAGCATCAGTGAGCAATTATCGCATACTCGTTTAGTAAAAGTCCTTGTGGTAACACCTCTGTGGAAGCGTAGTTAAGAAAAGTTTCTGTTCTGTTTTTAGCATTAAACTAAATTTAAGGCAACAGCTGGTGGCTTTAGAGAGTACTCTAAAAATCTCCTGCCGCCTGTCGTTTTAATTGCTTTTCGCCTGTTTGCTCGTTTAGAATACCGAGAGAGAAACAAAAAAAAAAAAACATCAAGCAGCAACAACTAATATTGTGCATCTCTTCCTGGTGAGCCGTTGCTCCTTTAGCACATTTGTTCATCGTTTTTGTTAGCGATTCATTCAAGGGAAAACTAAAAGAAAATCGATGTAAACTTTAGCATAAAAGGTGAAATTGTTTCTGACACTTAAACCCAGAAGTGAGTGGGAGCGAAGTGAGAGGGATCTAGGTAAAACAACACTATAATAGGGTGAGGTTAATGTTAATGTATTTGTGGGTGTGTATGTGTTTGTAAGCATTAGTTTAGTACACAGCAAGTGAATTGAAATGTTTTAAGTAATCATTTGTAACAGCCTCTCTCACCGTATTGCGCTACTGCATCGCGGTAGCAATAAATATATATATATAAATTTACATTAGGATAACCCCGTTTGTATGGAGAAAATATAAAGTGCTGTTACAACCGAAAATAAAAGCTTGGTTCATTCTAAGATACCATTTTTCAAAATTTCTGTGCTGGTGTCAATATTTTATGAGCCGACTGAAATTATAAAAAGGTCTTTGATAAGGTTTTTCCAATTTTTGTATATATAACGCAAAGGAATAATATGAAATTTTGATATCATATGAATGGTTTGAAATAAATTTTTGCGCTTCTTCCAAAATATTGAATTTATATTTTTAAATTTTTACATACATAAGTAGATTTATTTGATGTTATTAATTGAAATAAATATAGCATAAACCACATTAGGCGTCACCTAATCTTTTTGAAATTCAATATGATCATGAAATTGAAATTCAATCTATGATGAACTAACATTCATCCCAAATCATGGTTTAATATTGTAAACAACATTCAAAATGGTATTAGAAAGAAAGCACGAAAAATACTTTTCTTAGGTTAAATTGCATAAGTATTTCTATTTAATACTTACTTTATTTTCTAATGAAATCATAAAGTGATATACATTTTGTGTATGTCTTGATTTTATAAGAATACATAATACAAGATCGGAGATCGGGTTTCAAAACTAGATTTAATTTTTAAATTTTGCTGTATAGTTATTTGTGAAAAATATGGAAAAGTTATAAAAAAACTCGAAAATGAATTATCTAAATTTTAATTTTAGGTTGGAACATTAGCACCATCGATTTTGGGGACACCCTAATGTACATGCATTAGTTTTTAAACGATCATTAGCGTCTTTTGCAGTCATAATTTGCCGCGAAGGTTGCAACTTTAAAAGACCATGGATTACGACCACAGCATGCAACCTCAGCCAACAGCAATATATTTAAATGGAACGTTTTTTATAAAATTTTTAACCTCTTAAAATGCAAATTTACTACTTAAAAAAAAGAAAGAAAATATGTATATTAAAATGTATATGCAAACTAAATCATGCAGATGAAAGAAAGGAATATATAAATGGCTGATTTTTTAAATTCTAACAAAATTTTACACATACATATGTACATACATGTGTATTATTCTCTCGTTGTTTTCATTTAATGCCAAACAATTTGTTGATTAATCTTTCAATATTATGCGTTGCTTCACTAAAATTATTTAATAAAATAATTCAATTAAGATAAAAGTTTTTCCACTTATTTAGCAAATAATAATATTTATAAACAAAAAAAACAAAAGATATAAAACCAACAAACTACGCACAACCACAAAAGAATGAAAATACAAAGACGTTTATTAAATAGATTCATTCATATGGTAGCCAAAACGTTCAACAGTATACTTGTACTAGAAATAAACTTTTATTGAAATTAGCTCTCCTTTCTACTTATTTCTATTTTTTCTATCAGAAAATGCTTTTACTAGCGGAAATACATTAAAAAAACAAAAAAAAAAAAAATAAAACAGACTGTTTTTGACTTTGTTGTAGTTGATGGTTAGTGATATAAAGAGATCCATCCGATATGAACTGATTTGATACTGAGACACAGAAGCAGACTGACGACGGAAGCAACAAAAATACCATTTATTTTATGATAATAAAAAAACTTCTTCCTCTATTGCCTTTTTCACAAACTCTATTCATCCTTCTATAGATTCTACTTGTTACTCCTAGGTTGACTTCATAACGAACCAAAACTAAAACCATCGATTTTAACAGACAACATTGTTGTTTTATTTACATATATCTTCGAGATGAATAAGAAACGAATACTTGCCATTTCTTAATGGCGGACGAATGATATTGTATGAAAATATGTTTTTATTTGTTGTTTTTTTTGACATCCTACAACAATATCCTTCGTAGGAACAGAATTGAATATTTACTTTAAGCATTTATTTTTAACTAATTGAACTAAAATGAATGGAGGGGTACTGGTAATACTTTTTTGTGATAGTAAACAATTACTTGAAATGTGTTGCCATAAAAAGTGTATTTATAAAAGAATCACGTAACTAAATTTTTAATGAAAAATTCTGCATTCGATCAAAAGGAAGGAATTCATACATATAAATTTATTTGTTTATTGTTTTAAAATATGCAATAGCTAAAAAAACATGATCTCCCACCAACAGCCAGCCATTTTTAAGCAATTACTAATATGGAGAAAGTATCAAATAGACGAAATTTGACATATGTAAATTTAGGAGAATTCTTGATAACAAATTTGACAAATTATAAATTTGTCTACACAAAATCTTGGACAAAAGCTAAACAAATCTTCAAATTAAATAAGAACATTTAGTAACTTTTATGTATGTTATTAAAAAATTAATCTATCAGATAGAATGAAACAATATTATATTGCATTACAAAAGAATCTCGATGCGTTCAGATAAAAAAAAAAAAATATTTATAAAGTTTTTGAGATCATTTGCGGTTATATTTATCAAATAATGCAAAATGCTGAATGTTTGATTGCTTTTGTTGGTCATTTTATTTATTACAAATAATAATTTAAGGACACAAGGTATTACAAGATTACAAATTTACACAGAGATACACCCATACAGTATACAGTAAATAATATACATACATATGTATATACATTTGTATGTATATATATGAATATGTGTGTATTTGTTTTTTGTATGACACTAAAAATGTTTAAGATGTGCACAAAACCATGTTTCAGTGACTTGAACTTGATGCGAAAGCATGGTTGACCTAAATTTTTGTCAAATTGGCAAATTTTTATCTGGTTTGTTTTTTTTAATTTTTGTTCTTGCTTTCGATTTAGTTTTCGTTGTTACCCTTCAGTTTCTCACCACAGTTTTTTTATTATTTATTTATCAAATTTTTTTGTTTTGTTTTAATTTTTTATTAAAATTTTATTTTTGTTCTTCTTTGAAAATACCAAAAGGATGGCTGATGCTTGGTTGGCTCGTTGGCTGACTGGCTGGTTGTTGATATTAATAGTACTCGTAAACCATGAATGGTGACTAATATCTTTTTGTGTTTCTGTTGTTGTTTGTCAAAAAAGATAGGAACATAAAAAGTATGAAATGGGCGAGAGGGAAACGTAGAAAGCAAAGTAGACTTTGGTAGTTGCTGCTTTTATATCTACTAAATTGAATCATTCATTTAGTGCTGCTTTGGTTGTGCTTTTTCCCACTTTCTCAAGCCAAAATTACAATTTGCACATACAGTTGTCTGTTTTTTTTAGCCTTCAGAGACTGTCCGTACAAGTAAAATAGTTGCTAGCAAAGCTATTTGACTTGACAGGAGTCATGTCGCCTTTAGCTTAAAATCATGATTTACGATCAAAGACAAGTGGTAATTTTAATTTTTTTGTTTTCCTTGGTTTTCCTCTAAATTTTCTCATATTGTGTTTTTGTTTACTTCAAAATATTCCGTCAGATATTTATTTAAGAAATTCTCTTCTTCGTTCTTATTTTAATTTTATAAGCCACAAAAAAGATACTATTAACTATAAGCATTCTAAGTAATCAGATTTAATTAAGTTTTGTACTAGACATTGCATGTTCCACACACTCGCTCATTGATACAGAAATGGACAAACACACACATGTACATATGTATGTATATACACATTCATACTTATTATAATGTCAAGCGATAAGGATGAGCATGTTTATGAAAACGTTTACAGATAAAATAAAAAATACAGGATTTGTTGGAACATACATATTTGTTTGTTTCATAGTGAGCGCAGTTGTTTCATGTTCTGTGTACATGTACATTAGAGGTGTCCAAAACTATGAATTTCGCTTGGATGGGCCTCATTTTGTTCATTAGTGTCTAAAACTAACTGGTGTTAAATTTAAGCCAAATCGGATAACGGGAACCCGTGTCGGAAATCGATTTAAAAGTCTAAAATCATTAACATTATATATTGTTAACAATTCAACCAAGTCTTATCTTCTAGAGAAGAGCTAAAAATAACAAATAAAAAAAATGAAAAAAGTCCTATTATACAATTTTACGGGTTCCCGTTATGCGATTGGACTAAAATCTAACACCAGATAGACTTAGACACTAATGAACAAAATTAGACCCACCCAAACAAAATCTATATTTTTTTGCACCCCTCTAATTTACATGCATATGTATATCTATCCACGTTTAAGCTTGTTAAAATTGTATTCATCCTAATGTTGTATTTTAAATTCGTTTACTCCAACCATTGATCGAAACACGTCATAACTTTTTTTTAATCTTTAATGTACGTATGAAAGTATCACGTTTCTAAAAATATTTAAGAATTCTTTTTGAATTTTTAAGTGAGAGAGCCAGGCGTATGATAAACGTAATAGGTATTTTATTACTATTTTAGTTTCGCTTGTCACGTGAAAATCGAGAGTGAAAGCGAGTATAGTCGGGCATGGGCGACCTATGATACCATATGCCAGTTGTGTATATTAAATGTTATTTCTTCTTTATAATAAAGCATTTATCTTCAAATTTAACCTAGTTCCGATATATTATTAATTTCTAAAAGTGGCTTTATATGGACCGATCCCAATAAAATTTGATGCATAAATTTATATAATGTTTATTTGTGCTGAATTTTATCGCGATATTAGTTTTCAGAAGTGAATTGTGGGCTTTTATTTTTAGAGCATATTTACTAAATTTTAAGGATTATGAATTTAAATACTATTTTAGAGCATATTTTTATATTATTGTATATGTACATTATTTTTTATTAGAAACATTACTTTTGCTACCAAAAATGTTTGCTGTGACATAAACCTAATATGTAGTGCAATACAAGTCAATTTAATTCTGAAGAGCTTTTCCTGAACATTTCTAGCTTTAAATACTTGGTCATTATTTATATTTAATTGTCGAATTGTTGCCATAATTTTAACAATTAATTTTAATTTATTTTTTTATATGAGTCAGTACATTCAACAAATGATTGTGCGCGGTACATGTGAAAATAAAAGCGAGGTGGTATATGTGGCAAATAAAGAAAACGCAAATTATGGGATGTAATTATCGGCCATAAACAATGTGGGAAGAGTGTTTCAAAACTCACAAAGCACATTCATGTGAACAAGTAAATGTGATAAAAGTTTTTACAGTTTCATTGTGATACTGATGGCTTTTTGTAGCAGGGAAATAAATAATGATAAATAATTTGTTATTTTCTTGAACATATGTTTATATACGTATATATTTATATATTAGACATGACCATAAAAATAATCTGGGCCTTCTAAATTAAACTTTTTAGTCTGAGAAATAAATGATCTGTAATCAAAGACCACTCAGAACGTGCAAATAATTTGACTGATCAATATAAATCAAATGATTACTTCATTTGATATTATTTTTTCTAACAACTACTGAATAAAATAAATATAATAATAATTTTTTATAAAATAAAATGGAATTTTCAATATTTACTCCATGCTTTTTTATATGATATTTACTACTATTCAATTGACACCAAAGTTGGCTTTAATAAGAATCATAATATTTGAGGACAGGTCTAGGATACAGGATGTATGTATGTACATTTCATTATACACGCACGCATTTAAAAATTTCTATTCGGATACAAATTATTCTCCTGTGAGTTAATGTGTGTTTGAGAGCAACCGTAGACTAACAGAATCGTTTTTAGCCAAGATCTTTGTCTAGTTTGGAACAAAAAGTTTAAAGAAACTCCCATAATGTTTCTTTATTTATACAAATGATGATGTTGATTTTTTGTGTTTTCTTCGTTGTTGTTATAGCTAAATTGCTATTTTTTGTGTGTTCTTTTGGCAGTATGTATTTGTATTGGTATTTGTGTTTGTGTTTGTTTGTATATATGTATGTATGTATATGTGTTACTGCCATTAGTAAATTTGCTTCGTAATTGCAGTTTTCCAGGTGATTAAAAACCTAATAATTGTTTCGTATTTGTTATATTTTAGTTGTTTCCTCTCATTGTGTTTTAGTTGTTGTTATTATTGTTAATATAAAGTAATTACATGGGTGCTGCCTCTCAGTCATTACCAACACCACTAACATCGGAACACAACATGGTTCAACAAATTACAATGCTAAACAAAATTATAGCGGTCCATTACATATGATTTTATATTAACCTCAAATTCACATTCAATCTTTGATTATTTATTTCCATTCTTTTAATAAATATAAATATATTTAAATTTTAATTTGCCCTTAAAAGAATATCTATACCATTTGATCATTAATATTAATCGAAGATTACTTAGGTAGCCTTCGATTCTATGAGTTATAATTATGAACTCGATTGTAAGTATGCCCAATACACATTTAAATGAATGAGAGCGAGCTTAAGTTTAATTCAATGGATCGGAATGTTTATTTATGTTCTCACATTAATGTTTGGCCATTTTATTTTACTTCTTCCAGTTGGTGAAATGCGACTGCTACATGTACAATATACAGACATTCATACATATTTTACATTATTAATACTTAATGTAGTTAGTTGTACAAAATGTGAATCGATTTGTTGTTTTTGTTCATTCAGTTTATCACAAAAGATGAATGTCCAAGTGATTCACGTACTCGACTATTTTCTCATTAACAAAACATACTGAGCACTTTGTATTCAAATTTGAAAATGTATGAATTTCTTGTATTATTGTACAACAAAGAAATAAATACAATTACTGTTAATAACTCTTATTTCTTTACCAATAAATTTTAGTTTTCTTTAATAATGAGATTAACTAATTTTTTTTTAATTTTTATTACAGATTCCTAAATTAATGCCAACGTTTTAAATACAAAATATATTCAAAAAAAATATTTAAGGTAAGATCTTTTGGTGAGTTCCTTTGAGTCCTAATATCTATTGATCCAAAATGATTATTTATTTTGTGAAAAATATATCAAACAATATTTTTATGTTTAAAACTTCATATCAACGACGGGAGTTTCAGAAACAAGAGACAAAAATTCTTCACACATAAGCCGCATAAATTTTTTATTCTAAGCAATACGAATTCGTACCATATTCGTATTTTTTTGCTTGTGGGAATTATAACTTTTTTTGTTTTTATTTTTATTATATTTAATAATAGCAATAAATTATTTTAAAAATGTGTAAGGATTAAGGCCAACTATAGTATGCTTACACTAGCTGAAGTCAGCTTAAGCAACTGTTCGAACACATATAAAACTTGACAAACTATAATGTTAAATTACCTTAATCATGCAGTGTTTTTATAGTTTTTACGTCCTCGGCTGTTTGTTTGCTTCTGTGCTTTTTGCATTCAAAATTATTTTTTTAATGTGATTGTTTTAAAATGTTTTACGGCTGTATTTATAAAAATTTATTTTAGGTTTATTAAACAATTTTAGGAAAAATTCAGGAAAATCGTATTCATAAACGTCAAATAGCTTACAACGTCTTCAATAAACCATTGACAAATATAAGAATTTTATTGTAGGCTCGAACCTTCTTTAAGCCAACAATAAGTAGATTTAAAATTTTTTTTCAGATAAAGCTTTTTTCGGTAATTTTAGGTTGATAAATAAAATAATTATGGTTTCTTTTAAAATAAAATCTAAAAATTCCAATTTTAACGTTTACAAATTTGTAAATAAAATCAAAGAAAAATTTTAAACGATTATATTTGAAAAAAAAAAAAAAAAAAAAAACACAAATCTAGGCATTAATATATTAATACACGAATATTTAACAATATTCCAATTGGTCAGCACAATTTTTAGACAATTTGGAAATGCCCGTCTGTCAACCAAATGATGGACAAAATCATTAATCCGTTATACGGATACTTTTAATAATAATTAGAAATTATATGTTATTTATACATCTGAACTAAATAAACATTTATTAAAGCCATATATATATATATATGGGGAATTCTTAAAATCTTTTGATTTTTGAGTTAAAAAAATAAAAAAATTAAATTTAATGGCACATTCAAAATATTTAGAGCAAATGAAAAGCTGTCTATTTACATTATAAATCCGTTCGCGTTAATGATTTTTATCAAGTGGCGCAGAAGTTATGGCGGTTTGAAGTATAAATTAAAAAAAAACTCTCAAAATTAATTTTCATGATAAAATCTATCACAGAACAATAAAACTATTTAAGAGATATTAGAAATAAGCCATAAAATGAATCTTTAACAATTTGTAAAATACACTGAAAGAAAATTTTATGGAGTTTATTAAAAATTTCTATTTTTCGATAAATAACGTATATTTTATTAACAAACAAATTTAAAAATATGTATTATAATTTTATACTAAAACTATTAGATTTATAACAAATATTTATAAAAATTAAAGTAATGATTAATTTAAATTAGAAATTTTTTCTGCATATTTTGGATGGTCTGATAATTTTTGTTTTTCTTTTGGCAAGAGGAATATATTTGTTGGGAAGTAAACAGTAATGTACACAAGGTGGATTTTCTATACAGTGACTGCAGGATAAATAATTTAAAAATAAGGTATTTGGCTCTTTTGCACTAAAAATCAATTGATGTATTTTATTTGACTGAGGAGCCGGTTGAATATCTTTTTGCATTTTTTTCTCGATTTCTAATATATCATTTTCCGTTACTATTGATACATGTATTTTTGATTTATTTTCATTAATAACACTGACGATATCATGTACTGAGATAACATCTTTTCCGAACATTACAGCACGATCACAAAGACCTTTGACAGTTCCACCTGTTCCGTCAGCGCAGCTTTTGCCATGTCCCGCTGTTGAAAAATTCCATGTAGCTTTTTGTAGCTTTAAAAGTTTACAATGTTGAAGAAATAACATAAAGTTTGTTTTATTTTTATATTGCGTTGTTGGTCCGTCACTTTGAACGTGGATGTTTTGCACATTAGCTACAAATTTTTTTATAAGTCCAAATACCGGTTGCATATGAGCCCAAACAGCTACAGCATCATGTCGTAGGTTTTCTGATATTGTGCAGAATGAAACACATTTTATATCACCTGATGCAACATCTTTAAAAAATAATGCTCCAGTATGCAAACAAATTTGTTTCTTCGAAGCACCAAAATGCACACTTTGTATTTCCGATGAATATTTACATACATAATTCTCCGAAAAGTCAATAACAATGTATACTTCATTAATGGCTAAATTTTTTTTTATGTTTTGCATAAATTTATGTTGATGTCCAGTATCATAAACATGCTTTAAAAACTGTGGTGTACGTTTATTTATTTCCTCAATTAATTGTTCTAAGTTACATTTAACGATTTCTTTGGTAGTAATTTTCACATGGTAGTTTAAATTTTTAGATCCTTTTCTATCAATTTCTTTTTGGCACCACTGATAATAAAAAGTTGGTGTGTTGGGATCAATTGGTGTTGATATTCGTTTATTTTTACAATGAAGGCATTCTCTATACATACAGTCTTTAGACTGGGGATTACATGTTATTAGATAACTAAATTTCGTGGAACTGAATGTGGATAGTATTTTGTGAAAAAAAAGTTTTTGTAATAAGAAATCAAAATTAGCGTGTGCTTTGCAAAGGCATGTATTGCGATAAGACATTTTATTTTTTAAAATCCAAAATGGACGAAGTCTACAGAATGTTGCAAGAGATATTTTTATTTTTGTTTCACTTTGAAATTTTTCACAGAGGTTACTCAAAGTATCTTGCAGAAATCTTTTTCTAAAAGTGTTACCACGTTTTTTTATAACATCATTTTTTCCAGGTGCAATTGATGAATTTGAATCATTTTCTAAGAATTTTCTAACAATATTCTTTAAAACTTTTTGTTTATTTATTTTACGGTTGTTAATAGAAGAGATATTTAAAAGTTTGTTTTGCATGTATTTACTTACTAATGGGGCTAGGTTTTTAGAGCACTTGTATTTTTTAACGATTTTTCCTGAAATAATCTTTGAGAGAAAAGTCTTTTCATGCTGCATATTAAGTTTTTGTTTGTTATCGCGAATTTGATTTTCCAAAACCGAGCAAAACATTAATCTTTTTTTTATTGCAGTATTACCTTGCCGCATTATTTGTTGTGCTTCTTTTTCAGGAGTGCTTTCTGGGGTTTTAACCGCTCTGTAATACCTTTTTTTCCATACCTCAATAGTTCTTTTTTGGCATTTAATGGACTCCTCCAATTTTTTTATTTTTCTTCTTAATGCTGACTCCCGATTAAGAGTTTTGTTAAGACTTTTTTTACATACTTCATGCAATTTAAAACATTCACAGTGCTTTCCTTGTATGCTACAATATATGTATCCATCATTTGAAGTGCCGTTTTCATTTAATAATAGTTCACTTGTTAAACTTTTACCAATCTTTAAATATTTACAAGTCTCGGTTATTTTGTTGTTAAGATTATTTGCTATTTTCAATTGCTGTTTAGATTTATATTGAATTCTTGACGATTTTCTACCATTTAGTTCAGTTTTTGTTCTTGGATTCACATTTTTTTTGCGAATATCTCTCCTTTTCAAATTTTGTTTTTTTTTTGTTCAATATATTGTTTTCGTTTGTCGCGAAGTTTTAAAGCCTTTTCCGAAACCATTTTAGAATAGTAAACATGCAAAACATTCAAACATTAAATTTTGTAGAGTTTACCAACGATTGCTAAGATTGTTAAATTTTCTATATTTAAAGTTAAAACCTATTTTTTCTAAGTGTTAATATCTTAAATATATAAAGTTTCTTGAAGACTTATCCAAACTCATTTTAGGCTCCACAAATATTAAATTACGTAGTAAAAAAAAAAAAAAATTGCATAAAATCGCGAATTTGCAAAATTTGACAAAAATGCAGTTCACATAAAAATTGTATGTCAAAAGTTTATAAGAAAATGCAGTTAAAATGGTGAAATTACAATGAAATATGTTTTTACATTAGTGATACATTTTAAATCTAAGTAAATTTTATTTGGTCCATAAAACATGCAATCCTTTTATATTTTTGACGCCCACCAGTTTTTCATTAAATCATTAATAAAACTTGCAAATAAAGCCAATTTTGATGAATTTAGTCGAACATCCATGATGTGCCTTAGCAAAATGTGTTTAGATAAAAATGTCGCGCTTTCAACTATCACTGTATTTTTGAACAAATTTTTCATAGCAATGGTTTGCTTGTATCATAACCCTTAGTACAATGCGTTTAAATTTTTTCAAAGCCATTGTTTTATGCAGAGTTTAAATATTAGTAGATGCTTTTATATTTTTATTTTTGACTTTGCAATAAATATGCATTTACCTCATATTTAAAAATATGCATATTTAAAAAATGGTTCTGTTCAAAATATTTCTAGTATTTTTGCTAAAAATATTTACCCATACAAACTATTGCATATTACAGCTTACAGACAAATATAAAATGTTTTCACTTACAATATATTACGCAGCAACTCGCTAACATATTTATAATACCCACATATATTTCATATGGCTTGCCTATAATATTAAAATATTTTCCTACACAAATTATTCGCAGTCAACAATATTGAAGCCATGCGAGCAGTAATATACGAACATGAAATGTACGCAAGCAGAGCATATATGTGCCGACGAAAACACGAAACAAAACGATAGTCGCGACTATCAGGTTACAATATTTTTACTATCAAACTTAAATATTATTTACTATAGGAAATGACTTATGGTCTAAAATTTAACATTTCATGTTGAACTTGAAAAATTATAAAATGTGAAAAATGTATGCAAGATATAACCAAATTTTATTTAGAAAATAATTGAAAACGTTTATATCTATGTATGTTTTATGTATATTATGGGAAAAATGTATGCATAAAATAACCAAATT